CACTATAGACTTTAAAGAAAGGTTTAGCTCAAATATTGTCAACAATAAGCAAGTAATTGTCAGCAATTACTCAAGTTTTAAACACTGACTTTCAGCTAATATCCAGGGCTGGCTAGCAGCAATCAAACTGTAGCTCCTCTGTAGCGCGCTAGCTAACAACTCCTAACAGTTAGAACTAAATGCATCATAAAAAGTTATTTTGACCAACTTTTGACTACTAGTATTTACTGGCATCAATTTTTCTCAGAAAAAAACTATGAGACTGTTTTTTGACAGTAAACACTGTCAAAAATTGAAACCGAGATTAGCTAACCACGAGTGTTAGGGTTTGTAAAAATACAGTGGCTTACTATTGCACAACAGGTGCCAGGAGACAAATAAATATAAAATATAACATGAACTGATAATACTTAATTTACTTACCAAACGCAGGTCCCTTGTGCAGCAGTCGGAGGAGCGCTCACAGATCTTCTGGCTTCAGCCAATTGTGTGTGTGTATGCAGTGGGGGCAAGGTCATATGAACACTTGTTCAACACAGGATCGGAGTTTAGAGTGAGAAGTTCAAAGTTTACACAATTACACTTACAGGTAGTGAAACTTTGTTTTTACACTCGATTTTGACACCAACTACTTATGAACTGAATTCAAATATAGTGGATTTGACTCCATCAGAGTAGAATTAACTCTACTTTTGATCAAATTTCACTAACACCGAAAATGTAACTCTTCTGAATTTGCTGTGTAGGAGAAACTACAGTGGCCACAAAAAAACATAAAAGGCCCTATTTAGAGCCAGTGTTTGGTTTGTCCTCTCTAGGCTACTGTAGAAACATAGCGGTACAACATAAAATATAAAAATGGCTCAGTCTAAGGTAACCTATGAATATTATTCCATTTCTGCCGACAGATCCTTTAATAAGCAAATGTCACTGACTTGTAAGGCTTTTGTAACCTGCTAGCAAACAAAATGCCTTTTGTAGCTAGCATTTTATGACTTCATTGTTCATTGGTTGCGTTGAACATTAATGTTTCACTAGAAACAACAATAGGTATAGTTTGTTTAAACCAAAAGCTAGAATGCATTATATTACCTCGGGAAGCCAAAAGACTGTAATATTTAACAGAACACTTCAATTGTAGTCAGTGGTCAGTAATCTAAATCATTAGTAGGGTAGCACATAGTCTATTAAACTACAAGTATCCATAGCTGCAGTTACTTGCTAACAGTTTCAATATTTTTTCACATACTTCACATACAATATTTTCTGCTGATGTCATCACATGGCAACTAATGACAGATATACAGTATACTGTCAAATCTGCACTAATCAATTTACAGCACACCAGACACGCTTGTGTACCTGTTAGGGTGTATATTTATAATCAAGTTTGGGGTTTTTTTAGATAAAAAACTGGAAACTAAGGTTCTAAAGATAACTATTGACTTGGGGCGTAGATTTGGTTTGGTAAGAAGTGCACACGGATTGTATCTTCTTTCTAACTACCACTGCAGTAACTAATAAGACGCTCTAAAGCCTGTCTGGTTAAAAGACTGAGATCAGCTGAACAGATCTCAGTTTGTGCAGTGACGTCAGACAGCTGCATAGTCACTGAAAGCAGATCTAATAACAGAGTAATCATGTGACCACAAATTACATAACCAATGACACATACATAGACATACATGTGAAACTCCTGCACAAAAGCCATTCATCAACAGCTTGTTACAACACCTCAGCTTTTATTATGGTCACAGTCGAATAAGCAGTCACACATGAAGCACAACTTATAGGCTTTATCAAACACTAGTTCGCTGTACGCACATACAGATAAGTTCTTCTGTAAATATGAAGTCAGTAAATACTGTCTTACAAATCCCAAACATCCCAAAACCAACGTTGATCTAGTTTTAAAGCTTCTCCTGGAACTGAGACTGCTCCTCAAGATGTTTGTTTTTGGTTTTAGTTTACTTGGTATTATGAGAGCAGAGACCTGACAGTGAATCACACACAACCTAAAAAGAAAGTTGGTCATTACTAATAATAGTCACAAGTGTCCTAATGTGCTGTCCTAAAGGGGTCCATTTTAGATCTAATCTTCTCATGAGGTAAGCTGTTTTTGCTACCGCTGGGTTGTAACTGAAAACAAAGTTATTCCTCCTGCTTTGTAAAAACATATTATATTTATATTATAATATAAAACAAGCCAGCAGTTATTGCAGGGGCAGCCATTGTTTTCAGCTCTATTGGTGCTGTCAAAAAATAGACAAAGCAACCTGTTGGCAGGGTGAACTGCTAACAGACTGACATGACGCTACATTTGCAATACTTGAGACGAGCTTAAAGAACTCTATAATGGTTGATTCGGGAGATGAACTGTGTAACACAAGACCCTGCCACTGAAGCCCATGTGAGATTAGCTTTTACACATTTAGCAATATCTAATCTACTGTATATAATTACGGCATTTAAAGCAGCTTGACATCTCTTGTTTTTGTTTGCCTCATCCATCCATGCTGTATTAATCTAAAGAAATCTAAATTTCATCACATATCAGAGATAGAGAGAGAAAGAAGTTATTTATTGTAGAATATCAGAGGTGAGCAACAGAGGATGTACAACAAGGAAAGACTAGCATGATTACTGACACAGAAACAGGCACTACTGATAGATCATTACATTTTAAAAAAGTCCATGGATCATTGACAAAATAAGAAACACCTCCAGATTCTAAAGCCCCAATCAACCAAAAATGTTTTTATTTATACATTCAATCAACAAACTCCATTACTAAGAAAGCCTTACTATTATTATTCTAAGTAGCTTTCAACCACTTTTAACTAATTGTTTTCAGTCATTGGTCTGTTGTAGGTGAGTCCTAAATGGCTCTGTTCCATTTACTGTAAACACATGACCTCGCACAATCTTGTTATATACCGCCTACCCCAGCAGGACACGGTGGACAGCAGTCCAAAGTGTGGCTGGTGTAGAGAGTCAAAGAGAGCCAGATAGTTTCCCCTGTAGGTAGTTACCAAAGCACAGCTGAATGGTGCACTTGGTGCTGGCCGGTGGGACACTTAAACAGGAAAAACTTGCAACTGGATGCCCATTTCTGCTGAAATATTTGGCAAATATTTAAATTTAATATTGATAATCTGCTGTGAGTTTGTATTTGAGTCAGTCTCTGTCTCCTGCAGGTCAAAAATCGCTCAATGCAACAAGGTGTTACACTGCTTCACAAAAGGGAAGAGAACGTAAACAAACAAAATCACACATCAGAGCCATGAGCTAGAGATTACATTAACATTTACATCTAGTTGGGTCCGGGATGTCATCCTGTGGCTGCAGCGTTCTTCTGAGTAGCGCTCTCCTCGATGGATGTCCAGGTAGGGATGCCATTCTTTAGCTGGAGCACATAATGACTTCACACGCTGTGGAAAGTTAGAGATTAGCATCCTTACTTTTCACTTCCTTGAATTCATATAAAAATACTCCAGTTGTACAGTATGCAATGCTTTGAAAAAATGTAGAAAAAGACGAGTGGTGTGTCAAACCACCATAATTCGTCAGCTATCATAACACACACATACACACCTTCCAGACGCTTCCCTCTGCTCTCATCAGCTTATACAGAGCGACGATAGGGATCCAGAGGAGGATGAATGCAACCATGCACCAGCCCAGAGCCAAGCCCCATACCGGGAACTGGACTGTTCCATAGGAAGGTGGTTTAAAGGTCATCAGAGACCACACCAAGATCACCTGGACAACAAAGTCAGCCCCTTTCATTCATTAAACATGATTCAAACTAACATGATGTATATGTTTGAGAGGGTTCAATCTGAATTTTCAGAAGCAATTTGGACATGTATCAGATTTTTTTATTAGCTTTAATTTGCTAATAAAGCAGTTACATAGAGACCTTACATACAAAAATGAAATTTAAATTGAATTCACTGTAATTCAATTTCAGATGTGGAAATACAAGTTCAGATACCCAGCCACCTTTTCCCCATTTCTCTATGTGTCTTTTGTGGTAGTGTCATTGTTCTTGATTAAACTCCCGCCATGGAACTCATACATGTAAAGTGTCAAGTAAAAGCAGACATGTGAATATTTCTTGGGCACTGTCAGAAGTTGTACTCACCACTATGATACACGGGGTGAGGAAGAACCAACATGCTCTCCACCACAGCCAGAAAGTGAAACTCTTATTTCCAAGCATCATCTCAATGTCTTTAATAAAACGGTTCCCTCCTGGAAACATAAGAAATACACACACATACACAGCTGGAGTTTAAGGCTCACTGTCAGCTTAATATGCACATATCTCAAATTATCATATTTACCATATATGTAGCAGACACCAATGATCTCGAAGAGAGCCAAAAATAGCAGCACCCAACTGGCAACAAACTGGTCGATTAGAGTCACCCAGTATATTCCTGCCTATCCCAGACACACACACACACACACAGAGCTGAGTAGGTTGGCTAGGCCAATGTCAGACAACATAAAGTTAAACAAAGGCAGACTTACCCTTGTGACACATGGCAGGCCCAGGAAGTAGAGGACTGAACATGTCGTTAAAGTCAGTAAAGCACGTTTGGGTTTGAAGACTTTAGGGAAGGCATCAAGCAGGCAGGTTGTGATCACCTCTAATGACAAGAAGAGACATTTCAGGCTGCATGAACGTATTCTGACTGTTATGAGATATGAATTGCAACTGAAGATCTCACCTATGCCTGCAAACTGAGAGTCCAGACCAACAGTGAGAAGCATGAAGAAGAACAAAATGGACCAAAGAGGGGAAATCGGAAGCTTGGAGAGAGCATCTGGATATGCAATGAATGCCAGGCCAAATCCTGCACAAAGACAAAGAAACAAAACATCAGAGATGTTCAAAATGTTTATAACTTGGGCCCAAATGGTGTGTTTGTCTGACCTTCCTTCACCACTTCTCCCACAGGCATTTTGTAGATGTGAGCCATGTGACCCAAGATGGAAAATATGGCAAAACCTGCCAATACACTGGTGCCTAGGAAAAGATTAAAATAGCTAAATAGATTGAAATAAATATATACATTATTTAAAGGTTTATTTAAATAGTGCTGTTACAGTAGCTGTGCTCCTACCAGCATTAGTAAGTGTTACGACAAATGAGTCCTTGAATACATTGTTGTGGAAGTTGTTGTAGGAAGCAAGAGTCATGACTCCACCCCAGCCAATCGAGAGAGAGTAGAAAGTTTGAGTTGCTGCATCTTTCCACACCTAAAAAAAACAGTCATGCTTTAAATCAAAAGGGATTAGATTACTGTACTGTGTTGCAGATAAATAAAGATAGTTGGGTTCATACCTGTGCTTCTGTCAGTTTAGTCAAATTGGATTGGGCACCAATGTAGAACTCTATCCCATCTCTAGCTCCCTCTAGTGTCACACCTCTGATCAGCAGGATCAGAATCACCACATATGGAAATGTAGCTGTGAAATACACAACCTGGAGAGACAAAAGCAAGTTAAAATTGTAAAAAAGCAATTTATACATTTATATTTTCTTCTTGCTGCTTCTCTTGTCTCATGCATAAATTGTAAAACTATAAGGGCTATATACAATTACAATTGTGTATATTTGTAAAGTATAGTTTGACTGTTTAAATTCACTAATATTTAACATTTTCTCTCTTGCTGAGAGTTAAGATGAGATGATTGAAACCACTCTCTTAGCTGGTTAGCTTAGCACAAAGACATGAAAAAGCTACGTTGGGTCTGTCCAAAGTTAACAAAAACCTGCAATTAGCTCCTCTAAAGTACAATAATTTAAAGTCCAGTGTGTAACACTTAAGAGGATCTATTGGCAGAAATGGAATATAATATTCATAGGCATGTTTTCATTAGTGATTAATCACCTTAAAATAAGAAGTGCTGTATTTTTGTTAGCATGGAATGAGCCATTATTAACTACAGGGGGCGGATCCTCTTCTACGGAGTCTGCCATGTTGGACCGCCATGTTTCTACAGTAACGCAGAACAGACAAACCAAAAACTGACTCTAGATAGGTATAGATAGGTCTGTTGGTTGGTCCACCATTTGGGTCCAGACTGAAAAATCTCAATAACTATTTTCCATTAGATGAATTGCCAAGAAATTTGGTACAGATGTCTACAGTATGGTGGGGATGAATCTTTATGTCTTTGGTGCTCCCCTGACTTTTCCTCAAGAGCAGGTCAAAATCTCAGATTAAACATGTTAGCACTGTGAGCATCCCAGCATGTTGATGTTAACATTGAGCTCAAAGAAGCCCTACGTACAGCTTCGCAGACCTGCTTGCATGGTTGTAGACTCTTAGTCTACTGGTCTTGTTATTGTACGGACTCTCTATGCCAAAAAATGTGTGTAAATGTGAGACATTTGCTTGCTTTGCATTGCAGAAACCCCTTCAGACAAAAATGACAGGCTAATGATTTTTGCAGATGTATTGAAATATGCATTGGCCTTTGGACAAGTTGGACTGTGGACAAGGACTTGCTATAAGGTAGATGTTGACTTACTTTCCCTGATGACTTGATGCCTTTGCTGAGCGCTGCAGCAACGAGCATGGTGCTTAGCAGCAGACAGAGGGCCAAGTGCCAAACTACTGGTCCTGTTTCATCTAGACCACTGGATCTCTGCAGAGCCATGCGACTGAGGAGGAGAGAATATATAGCCACAGCAGTTTGACTGAAAGTGTGTGTATTTGTGCTTGTTTGCACGAGTGTGTGATTCTTACTCCCAGTACTGCTCACTCGGGCTCTGGACTGGAACTGTGATCATGTTGGAGGAAGGACAAGAGCTGTTTCCCTGAGTCCAGTTGGCCACTACAACACCACTTACATTACAATACACTAGAAAGGTAAAAAAAAGAGTGAGTACGTACAAACAATACTTTTTTAGAATGAAAGAATTATTTGATTATTTAGCTTTGAAAATAGGTTTAAGTAGATTTAATTTTTCCAGGTATTTTCATCCTGTCATCATTATTTTTACGTAACCCCCCACCACAGGAGAACGACACATCAGCGTCCACCAAACAACAGATTTGATCAACAAATCTTTACCTGTAGGCACGCTACTGCAGTTACCGTCTGCCCAACTGAGGCAGCTGGACCATGGCAGGGGAGACTGGAAGGAGGCGAACATGTAGTACAGGCTGTAGGCGATGATGACGTTATAATAAACGGATACTATCAGAGTCACTATAACCATGGCAATTCCAACACCTGGTAGAGAGGTAGAGAGAGGTTATAAGACACTGTTGCATTTATTCAACATTCTCACAAGAAGCATATTTAAAATATGGTTAATTCTTTTAAGGTTATTTATCAATTCATGTGTAGGTAGTAATTCAAAGTACAAATCCCCTCGAGAAAAAAGTTTGTTCGAAACCAAGTTAGAGTCTTCTGTGTTAAAACAGTGAAAGCTTACTGACTTTAGATAAATAAATGTGTGATAAACTTTTATCCCCCAGAGTAATATCATAACATGAAAGCTGCTAATAAACTGTCCAAATGGCTGACTCTGACATAAGGGGAATATTTGTGTAATATTATATATATTACACATTATTTATTATGGTACCAAAGTGTTCTTAGTACTGCTGTACAAAATGTCAGGCTTTTCTCATTCTTTTCAACTCTCAAAAGGAATCCATAAAATCAAAGCTGGAAACTTTAATGAACAGATTTTCTGCAACAGATTTAATTCAACGAAGTTAATCTTTCATTCATTGTCATTATGACTTTTTGTTGCTTTGATTAAAGTGACGTAATGTTTACTGTCATCCGTACATCATAAAGTGCAAGTCAATATCATCACTTCAACCTTTCTTCATCATTTTAGTTTAAGTTACTTAATTAAACTTAAATGATATAGAGTCAGGTGCCAATATAAGCATTGATACAGGTCTTTTCTTGCGGTAATAGTTTATCCTGTTCATATTGGGCATTAAAGGTTGCTTACCCTGTAGGATTGGCACTGCTCTCCATATGTTAATTGGACCTTGGCTGCAAAACTGGCCAAAGGCACTTTCCAGGAAGAAAAGAGGAATTCCAGTCACCACCAACATCACAAAGTAGGGGATAAGAAAGGCTCCTGCTCAAAATGACAAAAACAACATTAGAAGCTCTATCCAACAGGATTTCCAAAACTAGTGGCTTACAGTAGACACCAACTATTTACCCCCTCCATTCTTGTAGGCCAAATATGGAAATCTCCAGATATTTCCCAGTCCAACAGCATAGCCGATTGTAGAGAGGATGTATTCCTTCTTGCTGGCCCAGTTACCACGTTCAGTATTCTCATCACCATCATCCACATGTGGGTCCTGCTCATTAAAAAAAGTTTCAAAACTTAACTAAAGTGGTAAAAGTTGTAAAATGTATGTATGTTGCACCTGGAACATGTTAAGAACAACTGCAGTGAGAACAGTACATTTTAGAAAGATGCAATACACATTTTGACAATGCTATATAATAATGTCGGACTAAAATATACAGATATTATATGACAGTGTTTCTCAGCTGAGTGCTGAAAACACAGAGTTACTACTGCAGCTGATTTCACAGTTGATCATCTTATATCAGGGGACCTAACCAGTGAGATCACTGCTGCAAGATATAAAACACATAATAAAACAATCATTCCAACTTAAGTAAGCATTGTCATTGTGTCAGCTGTTATCGTACAGTTATTATTCCTGAATTCAATGAAGTATTCATTGGGACTTTTTTTTATTATGTCCACTCTTGTGACAATTTCACTAATGTGGCCACTTAAATTGTGCCATTACCTAATTAATTGAGATTTTATGTCACCTTCCTGCTGTAGCAGCACATCCTAAAAAGCACACTTTTCTAATTCTATTACAATTTTAAAAAATATCTAAATTAAGAAACAAATCTGGCAAACAATATGTTTTGTTTTGTGTTCGTTTATTGTTGTAATCCACATTGGATTATTTAAAAAAAAATCAGAACTACATGTTATTCAATGTAATTATTGTGTGGAGTGAAAGTCTATCCTACCTGGTCGACAACAGCAGGATTTCTGAAAATTAAATCCTTAAAAGTGTTCCAGCCGTATTCCCTCATATCCTTTCACCTGCTTGATGATGGTCTGTATAAAAAATTCAAATCACTCAGGTAGGTCTGTTTTAAAGCCCCCACCCCCACGACAGACAAGGGAGTGATATTTTCCAACCAATCAGCTGCCCAGACCCTCCCCCGCAACACCACTGAGGTGGTTGCTGGTTGTCTGTGTACAATTCATCTTAAAAAAAATGGAATCATGATTTAATGTGCATTAGTAAAGAAGTTTCCCTCTTGATAACAATAGCGACTGACTCTCATTCTGATGTAGAACTGATTAGTGTTGCTTTCTGTGTTATGTCAGTAATTCTAATTTCCTACGGGGCTCATTTCTGCTCTACTACTTTATATCATTCTTCCAAAATAGACTGTATATGACTCTTCAACTCAGACTGTGTATGATAACAACATTATTCCCTCTTTACTGATAAACAGACAAAATAGTGCCACTCAGTGTGTGTGTGTGTGTGTGTGTGTGTGACTCAGGTGAATGACTATGAGTAACCATATCTTAACAGGGAGGCAACTCCCAAAAGCCACTGCTGTGACTGATGATAGATAGATCTCATTTTGGTCAGTGACATGTACACATAATCACTGTACTGTTCGCACACCTAGATTTCTGTAACCTGTAATCACAACCTGATGATGTGACCACAACCAGGTCAGATGACATGACTGGTGACACAGAGAGATGACAGAAAATGTCCTGCATTACCCCATTAATTACAGATTATTACAATTACTCTTAGAGAAATAGTCATAAACAGACACACATGCACCCCAAAACCGTCAAGTATGTTGAATGAATTACTTTCTTATATGGTATAAGGCACATTTCTTAGTAAATAGTTGCCTGTTTACACATCGAGCAACATTATTATTTATGTGGTGTTGTGTTTCTTGCCATCTAGCTAATGTAATGTAATATTTATGTATGTAATATGTACTCTACTTTTACTTCTCTTTAGGTCCACCAACTCTCTTTTTAGCAGCTAAATGCTCCATTATGTTCACTAACTAGTTGTACAACACACACACACAACACAGAGACACTTGAGACACTCACAGTACTTTCCTTCTCCATTGTCTCCGCTGGACTTAATTGCAAATACTGAACACAAATACATATAAAATCTATTGTAAGTATTATATATTACAATATACCTATACATAAATATGTTATGACAGCTTTATAAAAAACATATTTTTCTCATCTATTTACTGTAAGTGATCCATTGTATTGTAACTAAAGTGTTATGGCACAGACAATACAAACTTCAGGACAGTCAGTTGAAGGCCTGATGAATTCTGGACATAATTAGTTTAATCACACACACAGGTGAGCACAAAATCTTCCAAAAAGCATATAGTGCATGCCATATTTATAATTACTGACCTTCTGGTGATGCATCATATTGAAAGAGACACATTTTTGGTAGAGTGAATAGTATCATCAGTTATAACTGACCTCTTGGCACTTACTCAGAGTTACAGGTATATCTCTGCTTAGTGTCCTCACTGTACCAATGTGTAATGCGCTCTGCTTGATGCTCTTTTGGTTTCTGAGCCGTTTTGGTCAGTGACGTGTGACCACAACCTAACCTCTGTAAATCTATTATATACATTAGCTGTAATGACGCTATCTTCTGGTGTGGCCACAGATTACAAAACATAGAGAGAAACATGATAAATATAGACATCCTGTGTCTTCTGACTACACCACCACTGGCCAGCTGACACACGGGTTTGGCCCTGAGGCAGCAGCTCATCACCTTTCACATTGTCAGAGTTAGACAAACCCACATGCACAAATCAATCTCCAAAATACCTGGTTCATCTTAGAAGATGGTAGGCAGGAAAAGAAAGGTAAAGATAATTAGAGAATCAAAACAAATAATTATTTGGCTCCTATATAAAGTCCAAAACGTCTAGTGTCCTGAATGACATTGCTCACATTTCCCCCCTTAAACAACTTGAATATGGTGCAAGACATTACTGACACCATGAGCAGATAAAGATCTGTAATCTTTTAAAAATAGTCTCTCTGTGTAAATGTATTCTAAAGGCATGTCTCATAAAAGTTCTCATATCCTTCAAATGAACCTTTAAGGTGACAAGTGCATGTTTCTGTTTAACAGTGAGAGAGTGTCTAGATTCAAATAACTGATTTATTATATCAGTTCAGCGTGAACAAAAACTGACTCTTTCCTGGGCAAATTATGTTATAATGCTCCAGTGTTTCTGTTTAATCCACCTTTAGTCCATAAAATCACTGAATCAAACCCCTATCACACACACATACACACACA